AACTTGTACAAAGGTATGCATGTGAAAGAGAAAAAATGTATTAATCTGGAAGGTGAAATTTTGAAAAAGTTCGGCTTGAATGCTTAAAATTAAAAAGGTTTATAGTCCCGAGGTAAAATCAACGAGAGTCGCAATGGACATTTACTGTTTCAGCAACGCGTGCACACGACAATTATTGAGTTTTTGACACAAATATTACTCGTATCTTAATATGCTAAAATCGTTAAACTTCTTTTGATTTTAGATTTTGATTGGAGCGAGAAATGCGTATTGATTTTACAATGATGTTAATTTTTTTATTACTTTTTTTTCTACCAGAAAGGAAATGTTCTCTGGGTGATACTTTAAAGAATCATTTTTTTGAAATTCTCATTAATATTCGAAATAATGAGGAAAGCCTGGTTCTTTAAAAATAAGGTTGTCATTGGTAACTGTTTTTATTTATTTTTTGTTATTATTAAGTTTTTATTATTTTCATATTTTTTAAACAATCATTGTTGTCATGGAAACGCACATTGTTTTAATCATTTTACTATAATATGACATAATACCATATTATATTGTTTTGTTGGCAAAGTAACATTATCAACTGAACTCGATTCAGAATCGTTTTTTCTTTATCAATAGTTAATCGTTGCTTACAGGTATACATTAAATTTTCATCTGTATCCTACCTTCTCAACTTCTCACGTATAACAGTGGCCCTCCCACGATGTATGTCTGTCTTTTTCAACATAAAACGTAAATCGCAGTCGTCGTATTATTTTAAAATTAGCAACTACTCACTAGCTCATCGTTTTTGACGGTGAACACTGTATTCCGTTTTCGTTTATCATAAAACTTATTGTTGGACAATAAAGTCATCGATATGTGAAATTTTAAAGCACGACGTAAACGCATGCGTATAAACCGGAGTGTAATCTATTTTTTTTGCAAAACATTAATAAAACAACGTCAAGACAGAAATGACTCGTACAACGCAGAGAATATATTATGTTTTTAATTTACATATAATAATTAATTGACGACCGCGTATACATTTCAATAATATAATAAGAATGAATTGCATATTATTGTACGCGAACCGAGTATAATTTGCATTATTTATTTTTAATTTGTGTGTAACTCCGTGGTATTAAATAAATATAATTCTCGCTTTTCCCACAGCTTAGAATAAATATGAAAATCGCATTGTATTAATATTATTACATATTATTATTATTACGAGTACAATGATAATAATATTACGACCGAAGAAAATTGATTACACAATAAACTCTTGTTTTTATAATAAACATAAATTTACATATATTTTCAATTAAAGAAAAATAATGGTTTAAAAAAAAAATGTCATTAATAGCACGGAGAAAAAACAAAAAAATATTTTTTACGAACTCGAATAACAATCAAATCGTACGAACGAAATAAAAAATAAAAAAATAAAGCCATGTCTACTTCGCATCATTTACGTATGGCACTGTTGTATAGATTGGACGTGGAAATGTAGTTTAATATATAAGATAATTTAATTTATAACGGAATTCAGCAATAAATCATTGTTCGTGCAAAATGATTATGAGCAAAGTTCGGTCAAACATGTTTTGATAAACTTGTGACTGTATTAATAAATATGCAATTACAAAAAAAAAAAAAAAAACAACGATTGTCAGAGTTTTTTTAGTAAAATGTACATAAACTGAATAAAAACTTAAAAGTCGCCTGCAGAATGTGTTGGACAAATTGTGCCACCACTGAAATGAGCGAATACATGTGATATTCAATGAAAATTTCGGGTAATTGTTTAAAACTGAGTTACAATAAAAATACGAAGTCGTGTTTAAAAACCGCTATGCTTAAATATTCTTTAAAAATATTAAAACTCCTTAAATATTGTTTACAATGTATTTCTGTCGTTCACCCCAGATTATCACAATTATCAAGAAAGCTTCAATCAAAATATTAACTTACTTATTTCAACCAATAAAAACACTTTATATCAGAACGACGATTGAAGTTGATCGCCGGAAAAAGATTTCCGATAGAAAAAATATGTACCTATTATAAAAAGAACTCATTAAAGACAAATTAATACATTCCTCGCTTTGTCCAAAATTTTAAATTAGGTGTAGATATAGTCGTTTTTTTTATATCTAAAATATTTTTTATAATAATTGTGAAAATCAAAAAAATACAAAAACACGATTTTTTTTTTTCAAATTACGGCGCATCGATTTTATTATTTAAAATATGTACGGTCTCTGTTTTCTACCAGAAATATCGCTCCAATAGAAAAAAACCAAAGGAATTTGTAGTTTTCGCTGAATTCTTAATCTAGTCGGTGAACATGAAAGGCGTTTTTTCGATTTTCTTTGTATTTTTTTTTTTTTTTTTTTTTTTTTTAATAATCAAACTGAAACCGATAAATACGTAGGAAAAAACGGGAAAATTCACGAAAATAATTCTTCGGTTATTTTCAATTTTGTTTTATTATAGGTATCGTATTGTTAAATCGTGTATAAATGAACTTCGCTGTACGTATCGTTTTACGTAAGTAATGGTTTATCGTTGGTAACAGATGGTGTAATAAATAACTTTATGCATCCTACCTTTTTGGTTGGATTTAGTATTTTACGTAAATAGCGTGCTTATTTCAGATTGTAATATAGGAGGACGTATTGTATTAAACATGTTGATATTCGTTAAGCTATAAATGTCCCGTGTCGTATTAAATTTAATATATTATATTATCATTATCATTATACATTTATAGCTTTCGATGGGAGTGGCGGACGGGGGTTATTTAAAACAATTGATAAGTTGCCTAATCTGTACAATACGCCTCCAGTTCAAAATGAAAATTATTATAATTAAGTGTACATATCTACCTACCTAACTACTAAATAATTACTATATTAGTAATAATAATACACACACGAGTACTTGTATATACATGGGCATTTCGAACAAATATTTTTTTTTATAACGCTGTAAAATATAAAACTATGATTTGCTCTTTTTTTTAAATTACACGTTGATATAGTTTTAATTTATACTTATCTACCTGTATAAAAAATAATAATAGGAAAAACATTTTTATATATATTTTTTTTTTTTTTTTTTTTTTTTTT